TTCACTTTGAGGGTGACAGAGCCCTGGAAGAGGCTGCCCAGAGAGTTTGTGGATTCTCCTTCTCTGGAGATATTCAAGACCCGCCTGGACAAGGTCCTGTGCAGCCTGCTGTAGGTGACCCTGCTTCGGCAGGAGGGCTGGACTAGATGATCCACAGAGGTCCCTTCCAACCCCTACCATTCTGTGATTCTGTCCTCCATTTGCTTTCAAGCATTTTATCCACTGTTTCAAACACTATTCACATGGTATTGTCTACAGTAATTAAAAAAAAAAGAAAAAAAATCTTTATGTGTAGTAATAACCAAGCAAGAAATCATCACCAAACACGTATTAGTTAAGAATTTTCTTTGCACATAATACTGTAACACCAGCCTTAGTATGTGAGTTTATTTCCCATTTACTATAATGAGATCCTTCTGCAACCTGCTGCAGAGAGACTTAGAAAATCGCTAAAAGTTTGTTTCAATAAATTGTCTATTAGTCTCCTTCCCTTGATTAGTTTTTTTAAAAATATGAAGCACCCCACCAAAGGCCTCCTTCCACTACAGGATGACTCATCACTTATTTTTATCTGTTCATCAGCTTTTCAAAATAGCTATTAAACCACAACAGGTCTTATATTGTATCAGCAAATAACATTTTCAAAATGTGACAAGATGATATACACACAGACAATGTCATTCTTACCCACATACTAATACACCTATAATGTTTAAGGCTTTCCCCACATAACCATGTCACCTCCTCCTAAAGTTCACCTAGTTAGTTGTTTGTTTTAAATCAGCACGTTCTAATCTCCATAGGTTTTTATCAGTTTATGCAATAGGGAAAATAGTTACTTCAGAGCTGTTTTTAAAAAAAATTCAGTATGCTATCCTCCAGCCCTCTGACAGCAAGACTAATAGGTTACATATTGCATTTGGTAAAAAAATCCAGAATACAAGACTGGAAATAAATGTTATCTTACCCGCATTTTTTTAACAAATCATCTTAATTAGTGTTAAACTCTGAAATTATCATCTGAGGCTCCTTCTCGGCTAAAAAGCATTCCTTCTTAAGAAGGAAAAAACCAAATACTTTCTTCCTCCCCCATCACAGTCTCATGTTCCAACTGGGTTTTTTTTTTTCTTCTTTTTTTTTTACTCCCTTAAATACTTCTACCTCTATAGTCAATTACCTAAATGATTCTAGGTTCTGTGCTTCTTTAAAATAAATAGTTGTCAATACCTTTCACATTGGATCTTCAAAAGCTTTGTTACCCAACCTTGTACCAGTTTAGTTTCAATATATAATCTCTCTCACATCCCTTCATTTAACTCACATCAACTCTGGTTGAGAAGGTACTCTAAGTGAATATAGTTTGACTGTCTGCATTGCAACTGTGATTTCACCTAATGTACTCTTTGCTATTTCTCTCCTCAGCTTGGACTTGTGTCCTATCTGAAGGGACGCATTAGTGAATTGTAAGCACCTCCATGCTTTTCAATGTTCCCCAATTTTGATTTTAAAATTCCCATTGTAATCATCTTAAGTTTCATTAGAATCTAAAAAGGATCCTAGATGCTTTATGTCTAATGTACAGGCTGCATCTATTCAAAAAGGTTCATGCTGGCAACTAAAGAATTGTCCCTCTCACTGTAAATTTATTACCTACACAATGGAACTACATCTCTGACATGTCACCTGCATCACAGCACTACCAAGAATATCTATCTTCTCTTCTGCAACAACCTAAACTTTAGCTCAAGAGCTTCTTACGCCATTTGGACCATGGTCCCTGGAATTCTGTCTGGCACTATGTGTTTGAACACACAGCAAATCAGACCATGTGTGCATCCCAGAAGCAAACCACTGTGCAGTCCTCACCAACCCTGCAAATACGCTTTACCCAATAATCATATTCAGCAGCATTTCAGACTACCTCTGCTATAGCTTCAAGGAGCCTCAACTCATTCCTCACGCTTCAATCAATCTAGGCATTTACAAGAGATGAACAAAGATGTACAGCCTCAAAAATCAAGTTGCAAAGTACCTGAAAGAACACAGCAATAGAAGTTATATTTTATTTCCAAAACAAGCTTCCTCATATTCTTCAGTAAGTTACTGGCACCCTAAGATTATCCAAATATCAGCCTAAATTGTGCAGGAACTGTCCATAGAAGAGGTCACTTTAAAATATTAATCCAAATGAAACATGAAGCTCACTTTTAGTACCCCAGCATCCTACAGCTTACCGATAAATTTTCATTGTTTTGTCAGTGTCAAAAAAAAAAAAAAAAAATCAAGACCAGCACAGTCTTTCTGACTGCTTTCATCAAACCAAGACTATTATGAAGCTAGACATCTGCACAGGCAGTATTCAAGAAGTATTTTCAATTTAAATATTGAATTTTAGAGACTAGAAATTTCTTGACAGTATTGTTTGTTAGTACTGTCGCTAATAATTTTCAAAATCCATTTTTTCAGCTCTTACAGTTCTAAAATTAGTTTATGCTGTCTACACCTACACTGCATACAAATGGAAGTTAGCAGCACACTGATTTTTAATAAATATTTCCATAATAAATGCTCACTTTTAATGAAACTCAACATTCAAGCTATACAAATACCAATTTAATGAGTACCTTGGTTTCTTGCTTTGTTCCATACTCAGGCTAAAAGCATCCATAATTTCTGATTTACAAATAGTATGCAAGACTCAAGCATAAACTTCAGAACTACACACTAAAATTTAGCAAAATATATATATATATGCAGTCATTAGAGAAAATTGTAATAAGCTTCAAAAATATCAATGTTCAGTAAAAAGCCGCTTTATGTATTAAGCACCTCATTTCACTTCCAGGTGAAAAACGAAACTAAACCGCGTAAGAATCCACTATAAATGGAATTTCACACTCCTGTGTTGCTCTCAGATATTAGGTAAGTGTTATAAACCAGAAGAATGGAGCGCTGTTTTCCAATTCAGTGAAATAGCAATGGCAAACATGCTGGCATAAGCAGTGACATTCCAATACATGAAAGAAGTATGTACAATAGCAAGACAATTAGTACAAGCAGCAATGAAAGCATCAAAGCAGCATTAACAGGGTAAACTCTTTCTACCTGCACACAAGGCATTACACACTTTTTATTTTCTTGCTCAGTCAAGTGCCCTATGTTTAATTTCTTAACTTATTAATATTCTGTCCCATGCACAGACCCTTTCAGAGTAAACTCAGGAACCTTCTCCGCACAAATTCTTTCATTTAAAGGAAGAAGTCAGTATTACCTTTTTTAAAATACACAAGCAGGTCAATAATATTTGCTTTTGAAACAAATTCAATGGTAAAATATGCAAGCCATGATCTGATTTTTTTTTTCAAACGTTGCTTCTTTGTAAACTAGTAGAAAACTGAAGCATATGGGCCCACAGAAAAATTCTACAATTTCACTGCTTTGAATAGATCAAATATGTTGTGACAACCACATCAGTTTTATTTACAGCATCTTTCTGAAATTCAGAGCATCAAGAAATTACATTTTTATCTCACAAGAAATAATTATAGAATTTTCTGAACATACTTGATTGAAGACCAATGCTTTTACCAAAGTTAAGGATGTCACAATATCTTTGAACAATTCAAAATCAAAGGTGTCATAGTAAAGTAAGTCTAAATTGA